GCTGTCTAAAAATAAATAAAAAATTCTCACAAAAAAAAAATGCTCTCAATATTCTGGCATTTAGCAAATGTAACTCATTAGGAAATCCTAAAGGATCTAAAATAGTAATCGTTAAGTATGATTTACCATCAGACAGTTTAAAAAAAATGGTTATATTCCTTTTTTTTTAGTGTATGTAAACTTCTGGTTTAAACTGTATGTAATTTATATGATTGATCAAATGGTTTTAAACGAAGTAAACAAAGACAATCAAATCATACACAGATGTATGGTACTTTTCTTAAAGCAAGACACACAGGTTGCTGTTGAGAACCCTTCACTAAATAAACTGATAATTTAGTAAATTGTGCATTTCAGCAATTTTTTATCGCTAACTAAATGTCCGAAAACTGTGATTTGCATGGCCAGATGTTCATTTTATTCATTTTAGTTTATTCACTACTTTTCATATAGCAGTGGATGAATTGTTATCATTTTGTAAGTTAACAGATGGTTATCAGTTTAACTTGTGGGGGAGCAAAATAGCTTAAATGTATTGTCAGGTGATAGATGATGTTCATAAGTCTTTAAAAATACCTTTCTCCTCACAGAATATTAGATTTTTTTAAATTCTGAAATTATCTGATATCTTTGGTTTTCTGTGTACACATTTAATGGGATAGTTCACACAAAAAAAAACCCTGAAAATGCTTGTTTAATCACCCTTTACTTGTTCCAAACCACTTTGTCGTTTTCTTCTGTTAAACACAAAAGAAGATATTTTGAAGAAAGCTGGAAACCTTAAACCATTTACTTCCATAGTATTTGCATTTTTCTACTATGTAAGTCAATGGTTACAGGTTTTCAGCTTTCTTCAAAATATCCTCTTTTGTTTCCAACGTAATATAGAAACTCATAAAGATTTGCAACCATTTGAGGGAGAGTAAATAGAGAGTAGATTTTCATTTTTGGGTGAACTATCCCTTGTCTGCAACTATTTTTCCATCTGTAGGTGTCCTGCTGCTGAATGCTGTGCTGACGGTTCGAGCACACCAGGCCAACTCTCATAAAGACAAGGGCTGGGAGACTTTCACAGATGCTGTGGTGCACTGGCTCAGCTCTAACATGCAGGGTCTTGTTTTCATTCTCTGGGGCTCTTACGCTCAGAAGAAGGGAGCTGCCATCAATAAGGTGTGTTGAGAAGAACTTGATGTGTTTGATTGTTTCACTAAAATTAATTAGAATTACCAGCTTAAAGGGGAACTAGTATGTAAATATGACTATATATAATGGGGTTTAAACAGTTAATAATAATATTAATAGATTAATTAATAGAATAATATTAGAGACATGTCCTGTGGTATGATGGAACTAAAATCGAACTGTTTGGCCATAATGACCAGTGTTACATTTAGAAGACAAAGGGGAAAGCTTACAAGCCTAGGAATACCATCTCGGCTGTGAAGTATGGAGGCGGCAGCATCATGTTTTGGGGCTGTAGGAGGGACTGGACTGGTCCACTTCACAGCATAGATGACATCATGAGGAAAGAACATTATGTAGAAATACTGAAGCAACATCTCGAGATGTTTTGGAGTGGCCATCACAGAGCCCTGAACTCAATCCTGTTGAACATTTGTGGGCACAGTTGAAAAAGCTTGTGCGAGCAAGACAGCAAACAATTCTGACTCGGTTACACCAATTCTGCCAGGAGGAATGGGCCAAAATTCCTGCAAACTATTGTGAGAAGCTTGTGGAAGGATACCCAAAACATTTGACCAAAGTTAGACAGTTTAAAAGCAAAGCTAAAAAAATACACGTATGTAAACTTTCGACTGTCTAGAATTTTTTTTAAATATCTCTAAAAAAAAACATTTTCTCATTATTCTGGCATTTAGCTAATGTAACTCATTTAGATCATCCTAACCGACCTAAAATAGTAAATGTTTAGTATAATTTACCATCAGACATTTTTTTTTTAAAATGGTTCTGTTCCTTTTTTAAAGAGTGTATAATGTAAACTTCTGGTTTCAACTGTATTTCAATATAGGTCGTTAATACTTCCAGATTTAAGAGAGTATCCCAACAATCACTGAGATATTAGAGGGTCCGTTTAAAATTAAAGGGTCCATTAAACGGCATATCATATATTCAGACGATACATTTTTGGTGGCTGAAAATTTGGTACATCTCTAACATCAACACACTTTTAGATTCCTATTGTTGCACATTTTTGCTGTGTGATCGGCTCTTAGATCATTATAGATTAAAAAAAAAAACCCTCCAGAGCTTATCATTGTTATTGACAAAATGTTTCGCGATTGGATATAATATTGTTTATTGGACCAGCCCTTGCCATCAGTTTAGAAAATAGCAACTTTTTATTTTCCGTCAGCCTTAGTACATGATGAAACTACAGAAGAGTCAAGCTTTAAATGGGAAAATTTTCAGAACTTTTTGGTCATTTTGAAAGAAATGCTAATGGTCTAATCTGATTCAATGGTCTATGCTAAGCTAAGCTAAAACTATTCCCGCCAGACCTGAATGGATTCAAAAAATGGTGAAACTCAACTGTTTACCTTCTAGAGGAGTTGAGCCTATTTTCAAAACTTAATAAATGTCAAAATATCCTAAAAATATATCACTCATGCATTATTTAATTGTTGATTTGTAGAAGCAGCACCATGTTCTGCAAGCAGTGCATCCGTCACCACTGTCTGCTCACCGTGGATTCTTCGGTTGTAAACATTTCTCAAAGGCCAATGAACTGCTCAAGAAGTCAGGGAAGAAGCCCATTGACTGGAAAGCTCTGTGATGGTTTTCCTTCATGGTTATACATGGAATGCAGTCTGTCCTGTTTCTGTTTTCATTTCCTGCTGAAATTTTCATACGTGCATTTCATCTTGTTTGTTTGTTGCTCTTATGTTATTAACTCAAGAGTCAGTTTTTTTAATGTACAATTGTTCATTTTACATCTACTTTTTGTGTGTTTACGCCTTCAGCTGTTACTGATAGCAGTTAAACATTTAGAACACTACTAACAACAGTAAATGTTTTCATGTTTATCACAATAAACTATTTTTCTACTGAATGATCCATTTAAATGTGTTTATTTTAGGTACATACTTCATTTTAAAAAATTAAAATTGTTTGCAATACAGTCAAACACAAAACTATTCATACCCCTCACAAAATCTGGCTAAGTTATTTTTTTTCAACCAGCAAGGTTTTTTTGACTGGAAATGACACGGGCTTCTCCCAAAAGATAAGAAGATGATGTAAAGGAGGCGTCATTGTGGATAAAAAAAATATTTATTAGCTTTTATTTACATTGAGGACAACACACACTTAATACAGAAATACACTTCATTGAGCATGTACGCATACACTATCTGACAAAAGTCTTGTTGTCTATCCATGTTTTTGGAGCAACAAATAATAACTTGACTTCTAGTTGATCATTTAGTATCAGAAGTGGCTTACAGAAAAGGCAAATGTCTCTAGATTACGATTATTTTACCTAATTCAATCATGATCATGCCTTGATTTTAAATTATTTAATTAGGACAGTAAGGTCTGACTTTACTTAGACAAAAGTCTTGGCACTTAACAGAAATAATGTCCAGTATAGAATATAAAGTCATGCTGCAATGGAAACAGAATGAATATTGTGTATGACTCCCATGAGCTTAGAGGACTGCATCCATACATCTCTGCAATGACTTGCATAGCTTATTAATAGTCATCTGGAACGGCAAAGAAAGTGTTCTTGCAGGACTCCCAGAGTTCAAGATTCTTTGGATTCATCTTCAATGCCTTCTCCATTTTACCCAAGATATGCTCATTTCTGGTGACTGGGCTGGCCATTCCTGGAGCACCTTGACCTTCTTTGCTTTCAGGAACTTGGAGGCTGAAGTATTCGGCCTCTCCTGTGGTTTGTCATGTAATGGGCAGCACAAATGTCTTGATAGATTCAGGCTGTTCGTTTTTGTCATCCACTCTGCAGATCTCTCGCACATACCCATGCTGAATATAATCCCAAACCATGGTTTTTCCTTCAAACTTGACTGATTTCTGTGAGAATCTTGGGTCCATGCGGGTTCCAGTAGGTATTCTGCAGTATTTGTGATAATTGGGATGCAGTTCAACAGACGATTCAGCAGAATAATCTACCTTCTGCCACTTTTCCAAGGGATCAATTAGAAGTCGAGTTATTATTTGTTGCTCTTACAACTGGAATCGACCACAAGACTTTTATCAGGTAGTGTAGACATCACCTATATACTACATAACTGCATGTTAACTATATTTATAAGTAATACGTTTACTTATTAGTTATTAGTTAAAGTAATTAGTAACTAATAACCTTTTCTAATGTTGACTGAATGCAATAACCTTTTATGCTTTTTTAAGCTACTTTGAAACAATAATTATTGTGAAAAGTGGTATACAATGAACTTGAATTTAACTGAATACATTTGAACCTGATAATTTGTCATGGGATATGAAAAATGTCGGGCTTGCTGCCTGAGTCTGTCACTGGAAGATGTAGTTTTGACTGACTGGCACAGTTGCAACCCAAATATATAGTGTGCTCTCCACAACAGTGGGCGTCTCCCTCGAGCCATCCAATCAGAATCGAGTATGTCATCGCTACGCAACGCCCGTCTTGAGTTCACCAAATCCCTTGAAGTTACAAGTAGTAGTTAGCATGCAGGCTAACGTGATGGGCTTGCGGACATTTAAATAGCTTATAAAACTAGACAAACTAACTTCGCAGGAATGGACGAAGGAATTGACGAAAAGTAAAGTAACACCCTCGGGTTTTAACTGCAATACTTATAGTAAAAGTCGAAGCGCGTATTTTTAACATGGCTACTCGACAATACCGGAGGGCCACAATGATGATCAAGCAGGAGCAGGACGACGATTCCGACGCGGAGGAGTCCACGCTTTCTTTCAAGAAACCAGACGGTCGGGAACCTCAAATCATCCACAGCGGTCATTTTATGGTGTCTTCCCCTCATACCGATCACCCCCCGAAAAAAGGTTACGACTTCGACACTGTAAACAAACAAACCTGCCAGACGTATCACTTCGGGAAGACTAGCACGTCGCATCTGTCTATTGATGCTTCTCTGACGAAACTCTTTGAATGTATGACGCTTGCATACAGGTGGGTTTGGTTTTAAGCAACAAAATATAACTTAAAGATTTTTTGAGCGCTGGGTTTGGTAGTTGGACCACTTAATTTTAGTCGCTTTCAGTTTTGGTGAACTTGCAGAAACTGAGTAGAGACTCTGTTGGAGAAACTAGCGTATTTGTTTCCTTCATACAGACAGAAGATGAAAACATTCAAGTGTTTTTTTTAGTTGTTGTGGGTTTTTTTATTAAGTTAAAGTTGGTTTTATATTTGTACATTCATACTTTTAAATATTCAGTCTGAAATAGCATGCAAGTCTGACTTAACAATACTAGCGCTAATTATATGTCTGTGAACAATCTTGTATTTTGATAGTTATTGGCTGCTAATATGATTTCCTTTTTTAGAATTAAGAAATAATACCTTGATGAAATAATAGGTTTAGGTTTAACTTTATTTGTCCCCGAGAGGAAATTTGTCTTGGGCATAAGAGGTGCTACAACATTGTCTAAACAGACAGTAAAAATAAATAAAACAAAACAATTAAGAACAAACAGTTAAGAACATACATTGTTTACAGAGTAAGACCGTATATAAATATAAATATATAAAACACCGAACCCAGTCAAGTGTTAGCGTACTGCAGGAGCAGTGTTATTGGTAGAGTTCAACAGTTTTATGGAGGTAGGAACAAACGAAAGCTTCAGTCTATTAGTTTTACACATTGGAATTCTCAGTCTTTTTCCTGATGGTAACAGCTGATATTCACTGAAAAGGGGATGTTTAGAATCAGTGCTAATACGTATTGCTCTTTTTATAGCCGCCTGTTCGTATAGAGTCTGGATGGGCTCATATTGTTTTATCCCTATAATTTTCATGGCTGTTTTATGTATATGAACCAATTTATTTTTCAACTGAACAGACAGGTTTCCAAACCAGACTGTGATTCCATAGCGAATAAGACTCTCAAACATAGCTCGGCAAAAAACAAGCAAGATATGGCTACCCACCAAGTGTGCCGCAAGCCTACGTTTGAGTGAAGGTTTCGGCCGTTAGATCGCCCCCTGGGGGCTGGCTGCAGTACAAGTCATAAAGCCCGCCTCCTCCGTGTTAATGAAGGAGACTTGAGCCCAAATAAAAAAAAATATTACACTTGCAATAAAATGTCCCGAAAGATAGTTCTGGTCGATTAAGGCACTGGTTATTGTGCTGAAATAGGTGCAGATCTTCATTTTTGTAAACAGTTTGTTTTTAGCAGTAATTTAATGCTGGGCGTGTCATCGTGATTGACAGCTGTGATTGACAGTTTCTCAAAGCGCGGCGTCTGAGCTTCGGCAGGAGACTGAAGTAGACTGAAATGTTATTATTCGGTTTCTGTGTTATTTTACCATGACAAAATGAGTTCAGCAGTAAACTATAGTTTCTGACATACATGATCCTGGTGGAACACTGTTTATTCGCTAAGTTCAGGGCTTTTTTCGGGCTTTATTAGTTTGCTGATACACGCCTAGCCACCCAGATAGCAAAACACAGTTCCGGCTAGATTCTCGCCTGCCGGAGACTTATCTCTTAGAGCTCAGACTGTCTAATGTTACCTCTGCTGGACCTACTCCGGATGCCTGGACTCACTGCCCGATTCCAGTCCGAGTCAATCGAGCCAGATGCGGCGGCCGAGCGAGCAGGCGCTGCCGCATGCGAGCCGGAATCAGCCCGCGACGCCGCGAGTAAGTTGTGCGCTGCGGCCTGGAGCTGGCGCGATTGAATATATAAAACCCTCATATTTGTGAACGTTATTACATCCATTTGTGTTGATATGACAGCAAACGCATGCTGAGAAGTTCGGGGGGCGTAGTTGATTTTACATAAAGCGTTTGGTTGGAAGCTCGACTCTGCTCATTTTCGCGGCTCCTCCTCTGGCTCCATCAGACAGTCCTTCTGCGCATGTCTGGCTCCAATTTCAGCAGTCTTTTGCGACAGTTTGTGCCCGTCAAGCAGGCGTTTTGCCCTCAAGGCGTTCAATGGGAAAAAGGGCTGTCGCGTCGTCCATATTTTTTACAGTCATTGCTACCCACCCCATACAATCTCAGCCTTCTTAAAAATAAAGCCTCTGTTGTAGTTGTGTGCATAAACTCTCAATGTGTGTTCTCCAACAAAAAACACTGTCCATATAAAACCCCAGGTATTTGTAAGATGTGACTTGCTGTATCACTGTGTCTTTAATGATCACAGGCCTGTGTTCAGAAACACATTGCCCAACATAATAAGGTCCAAATGTGTGAATATAAAACCAACTTGACCTCATTACCAACATTAGCACTGTTTATTTGACTGTGAACATTGTTGTACTTTAATAGTTAATGCTAATTATGATTTCCCTATTTAGAATTGGCAAATAATGTTTTTCTGATATTTTCATTCAGGAGGAAGTCCGAATGTCTGAATATAAAAATCAGCCTTACCTCAGTATTTTGTTGGGCAATGGCTTTAGTAGTTGGACCACAGTAATTGTTCATATTAGTTGCTTATAACTTAAGCTAACTTGCAGAATCTGAGTAGAGTCTCTGTTGGAGAAAATAGCATATTTGTTTCCTTCATACACACAGAAGGTGAAAACATTCAGGTGTTTTTTGAGTTGTTGTTGGGTTTTGTTATTAAGGTAAAGTTGGTTTTATATTTGTACATTCATACTTTAAATATTCGGTCTGAAATAACATGCTAGTATGACATCGAAACAACAATAGCAGTATTTATATGACTGTGAACAATCTTGTATTTTGATAGTTATTGGCTGCTGACATGATTTCCTTTTTTTAGAATTAAGAAATAATACCTTGATGAAATGATAAAGTCCAAATGTGTGAATATAAAACCAACTTGACCTCATTACCAACATTAGCACTGTTTATTTGACTGTGAACATTGTTGTACTTTGATAGTCATTGGCTGCTAAATATGATTTCCCTATTTAGAATTGGCAAAGAATGTTTTTCTGATGTTTTCATTCAGGAGGAAGTCCGAATGTGTTAAAGTAAAAATTAGCTTTACCTCAGTATTTTATTCGGCAATGGCTTTAGTAGTGGGACCACAGTTAATGTTCTTATTAGTTGCTTATAACTTTAGCTAACTTGCAGAATCTGAGTAGAGTCTCTGTTGGAGAAAATAGCATATTTGTTTCCTTCATACAGACAGAAGGTGAAAACATTCAGGTGTTTTTTGAGTTGTTGTGTGGTTTTGTTATTAAGGTAAAGTTGGTTTTATATTTGTACATTCATTCAGTGATAACTTGTGACATGCTCCCTATATAGTTTACCATGGTACTTTGGATATTCGGTCTGAAATAGCTTGCAAGTATGACTTCAAAACAACACTAGCACTATTTATTTGACTGAACAGTCTTGTTCTTTGATAGATATTGGCTGCTGACATGATTTCCCTGTTTAGAATTAGAAAACAACACTTTAATGAAATTATATAATTTAGGAGGAAGTCCTGAATGTAAAACCAGTATTACCTCAATAGTTTATTGGGCGATGGTTAGGGCCAATCGTAATCTGCGGACGTTTTTTGCTATTTCTGCTGCGTATTTTGGTAAAAGTCTGCGGATTTCCGCGGAATTATTTTGGCAGTATCATAAATAAAACCTTAATATATGAAATAAAAAATATCTATGTAACTTTTATTTAATGTTTAAAATGCAAAATCCAATTAGATTCACTTTATTTGGTAAATAAAGCAAGTTTGTCATATAATATATCTTGTAAAAGACAGAAAATATGACTGTACAAACTGCATTGTACATAAATCAGATGAACATTTTCACATTAGTGAATAATGTTACTGAAATTAATTAATTAAACTGAATAAATATAGATTTACACACATTTACTCAAGCAAATTAACAGAATTAATGATGGGCAAAAAATCTGCGGAATTCTGCACGCGCAGATTCCAGGTGGGCCTAGCGATGGCTTTAGTAGTTGGACCACAGTTAATGTACAAATTAGTTGCTTTTAAGTTTAGCTATTTTGCAGAAATCGAGTCTCTGTTGGTGAAATTACCATGTTTGTTTCCTTTATACAGATAGAAGATGAAAACATTCAGGTGTTTTTTTTTTTTTTTTTTTTGAGTTGTTGTGAGGTTTTGTTTCACTCGACAGCTGGTTTTTTTTACATTTTGTTTGTCACCAAGTTAATGTTAACATGATTTCAGTTTACCATTAGCAAAGAATAATTTAGTTAAATTCTATTATTAATGAGAATGTCAGAATCTGCGAATATAAAACCAACTTTAGCTCTGCTGGAGGAACTAGCATATTTCTTTACCCAAGTCATACAGAAAGTAAAAATATTGAGGTGTTTTTTGAGATGTTCTAAGGTTTTGTTTTAGCCGACAGCTGTTTGTTTACATTTTTTTGTCACAACTTAAATGTTACGTTAATATCAGTGAGAACATGTAAGGCTGCATTTATTAAAGTTGTTTAACAGAACGTAACATGATATAATTAAAGTAGGCAACAGTGTTTTGCCAGGAAGTGTAAAGTATTTCCTCTTCAAATACACAAGCATATCCTTTAAATCTAAGCTTTCAGTTGGTTGTAGTAGTTGTTCTGAATACAGAAATCTAATGTGATTAATATGTCATTCAGTGCAATTATAATTGAAATAAAAAAATTTTTTTAGCATATTTTAAATTTGAACAATTATTTAATGAAATATCAGAACTTTATTTAATTATGCTTTTCCACTGGTGGTTTAAACCACTAGGTTTTACCCATTTTTCAGCAAAACAATAATAATATCAAATGTATTTTTATCACCTGTTATTTGAATAAGTTAATAATTTTATTAACAATTGTAAAATAAAAAGTATGTATTATTTTAGCCGACTGCTGTTTTGTTTGTCACAAGTGAAATTGACATTAATGTTACCTCTATTTAAGTGAGAACATGTAACGTTATGTTTATGAAAGGTTAATGTTTTTAAAAGATGTTACTTATTTAAAATTGATGTCAATGTTTTGTTAGGAAGGTGTAGAGTATTTCCTCTTCCAAATACACAAACACATCCTTTAAATCCAAGTCTTGCGATTGTAGTTGTTAATGTGTATGCAGAAATCTAATGTGATCTACTATATAATTCAGTGCAATTATAATTTGTCAAAATTAAATTTCAGGGGTATTTTAAAATTTTTTTTAATGACATATCAGAAGACTTTCTAATAATGCTTTAACACAGGTCATTCAAACCACTCAATTTTACCCATTTCTCAAAAAAAACAAAACCTTTTCATCTGACTTTTATTATGATCACCTATTATTTCAATAAGTTAATAATTTTATTAATAATTGTAAAAATATTGTAATTATTTTTTATAGACATATCTGTTTTACTGAATGCCGATGAAACATTATTTCACCTATAATTTGACATTTTTTACAAAACATTTCATTAGACTATTAGCTTCTATTTGATGTACTTTCTCTGCATGTAGGTTAGTTTTTAAAGCCCTAAAGTTATACACCACACTTACCTTTTTATCTTGAAAGATTGCAGTCTCCATTGTTTGTGACTTCATACTTTTTTCTGATTTTTCAATTGCATGTTGTTAATTTTAACACGAATGCCTGAAAAAGGATACTTCATATAACAGATGTTGAGACATATAAGTCAAATGTAGAGACATAAGATTGTGATCCATTATGTGGTAATCACTATTTGTACTTTTTCAGTATCACATTAGAGTTTACACAGAACTGCTGTTGTACAGGAAAAAAAACTCCTCCAGGTCTTGAATAATTTGCTTTTCCAGCATACTGCATACTTGACTCCCTTCCAACAGTGACCGTGCACAAATATTACAAAAGGTAAAAAGGTCAAGATGCTGATGAAGGCAAGCTTTAAAAAGTTCTATTATTTAGTATATTTTTGGCTTAATTTAAATATGTCTAGTCAAATAACTCATTTGGGGAATTAAAAATAATAAAAGATTTAAAAAAATGTTTAAGATTAATCTTTTGGTAGCACTTTGCAGATTCAGCAGCTGTATGTTAACTCCTCACTACTGTTGTAAAATAAGCATGTCTGGAGATCACCTTAAATACTCGTATCAGAAACTATGATTAATAATGAGTTGAAGAATGCAATTTAAATTCAGATGTCTCGTGTACACCACTTACGATGTAAATTTCAACATTACCAACTCTTTTATTTGAAGCAAAAGGTATTTGGAGGATAAATGAATGCATGCTCAAAAGCATTAGTGGGGTGAATAGCTACAATCCCAGCAAGCACCGTACATCATATAAATGATTTAAAAACATTGGAGAAATATAAAACTGTTGTATATGTAGAAGAAGCATCTTAATTTTGGTCTGTATTTATTTATTTAATTATTTAAATATGTATACAGATATTATTGTATTGTATTATTGTAAAGGGCTCTGCAATTGATCGAAAATCTGATTTCGATTTTGGGTTCTAACGATTACGAAAAACCATTAATGGAGATAAACTATTATTGCATTATATACCGCCTCCTTTCCAGTTGTACCCATTTGATGCTCTTAATAGCGCGAAAGACCCCATGCTTATGTGGGTGTGGCGCGCAGACACAGTCAGAAGCATGCGGTCAGCATTTGGTCTCTTTCGCACATCTAAAGTCATCTTAACATGAGCGCTTTAATAGTAAAATAGGTGTCAAAACACGGCATTTAGTGATTATTTATATTTACCCTCATTTGTGAAATGAACAAATGAGTTGAGAATCAAAAGACACGTGAAACCATTAAAGCGACGGCGCACAATTCCTACTGCCGTCTGTTTTTATGCTTATTAATCAGAAAATCCCTCACTGCTCTTGACTGAAGGACTGCTGGAGCTAAAGTATTTTTCTTACAGTAAAAACGCTTAAAGCACAGTTTGTTTCATATTTTTTGTTCTATTGTATTTATTTCTCTTTCCTTTGCAGAGTGGAAAATAACTGTATATATGCAGTTGAAGTCAGAATTATTAGCCCTCCAGAATATTAGCAGCCCTTTTTCCCCCAATTTCTGTTTAATGGAAAGATTTTTTCAACTTATTCCTGAACAAAATAGTTTTAATCACTCATTTCTAATAACTGATTTCTTTTATATTTACTATGATGACAGTACATACTATTTTACTAGATATTTTTCAAAATTCAAGCATTCAGATTCAAAGTACAATTCAAAGGCTTAATTAGGGTAATTAGGCAAGTCATTGTATAACAGTAGTTTCTTCTGCTGACAACCAAAAATATATATTGCTTAAGCAAATATTTTTTACCTTAAAATAGGTTTCAAAATATTTAAACCTGCTTTTATTCTAGCCGAAATAAAACAAATAAGACTTTCTCCAGAAAAAAAAAAATATTAGAGGAAATACTGTGAAAAATTCCTTGCTCTGTTAAACATAATTTGGGAAATATATATATTTTTTTTAATTCTCAGGAGCGCTAATAATTTTGACTTCAACTGATAATCGTTTTGAATAATCGTGATTACAATTATGACCAAAATAATCATGATTATGATTTTTCCCAAAATCGAGCAGCTCTAGTATTAGAGTAAACATTTTAGAGATTTGGGAGACATTGTTCATAATCCTTCACTGGATTGGTCTGTCATTGCAGGGCTCTATTGGCGTGATTTGTTCACTGTGACTCTGATTGTTGAAATTTACCTTGCAGAATCATGTGTGTTTTAGGCTTGTGATGATTGTGATTAATTGCTGAAACTATTATATTATTAGTATTATCACAATATAGACCTAAGCTCCAAAACTGGTTATTTTAACAGGTTTAATTACAAAAATGTATTTCTCTTTTGTCTATACATGTTCAAAGTTATATAAATGTTTTGACCAAATGAAATTGCACAAAGATTATAAAGTTATATTGAAATGTGATGATACAGAGGACATTTTACAATAAACTATCATTAGTAAATGTTAGTTAATGGATAAGGTCAACAGTGAGAGAAGGACAGATTTATTACAGCGACTATATTAATATAAGTAGAATAAAACAACAACAAAATTTGTTTAGTTATTAACTCCCATTTAATAAAATGATTTCAACTCCTAATTAGATTCCAGCTTGAATAGTAAGTTCTTAGGCATTAACTAAGAAATTAACATCACCGAAGATTAATAAAAACATTTGTATTTTCTTTGTGAATTTTTGTTCAATTAACTATTTTTAACTATTGGAGTCTTATTGCAGTGTTAATGTACAATAGTGAAATAGTCACAGAATCTTCAGTCAATATTTCAGCATGTATTAGACCAGATTAATGTAAAAATGTTCAAGTTTGATCTAATTGATCTAACCAAAAGCTAGTCAATTAAGCTAGTCATTTGAACTCCAGTGCAAAAAAACAGTGTGAATATTCTTCAACAAGCACTTCTGCTTATTCACAACATTTCAAAGTACCCATGATATGTGATATTGTCGATGCTTGTTATCATGGTATATTGAATTACTGAATTTCTGTACATGTTTAGTGTGAGTTTATTTATTTTTTTAAAGTTAAGACTGCGAGTTACATGAACAGAACAACTCAAATGCATAACACACGCATACTCCTTTATCTTGCGATTTAAAAAAGAACAAACATTTATTTTGTCTTCATAAGTGGAAGGTTAGTGTCACCGAAATGGAAGAACTTCAAGGGCCTCAAGCTGCTGTGGAGAGACAAGATTCGCCTCAACAATGCCATTTGGAGAGCCTGGTATATGCAATGTAAGAGCCTGCAGAAATATTCAGATATGATACAACACATTTAGTTTGTTTGTTTCTGTTGGTAATGCCTTTCTTTCCTGAAGATGTAGAAAAGAGACAGAACCCAGTTTGCCATTTTGTTACACCTTTGGATGGCAATATGGACTCAGGAGTGCATCGGCCAACAGAGGTGAGTCTGTGTGGCCAGTCATTCGACTGTGCTAGTATTTAACTGGTTTTGAATGGAAAAAGCATGTACAGTTGATTATTTATATATATATATATATATATATATATATATATATATATATATTTTTTTTTTCCTTTTTCAAATATTTCCCAAAATATGTTTAACAGAGCAAGGAATTTTTCACAGTATTTCCTATAATATCTTTTTTTTTTCTGGAGAAAGTCTTATTTGTTTTATTTCATCTAGATTAAAAGCAGTTTTTAATTTTTGAAAAAACATTTTAAGGTCAATATTATTAGCCCCCTTAAGCAATATTTATTTTTTCGATTGTCTACAGAACAAACCACTGTTATACAATAACTTGCCTAATTATAACTTGCCTAATTAACCTAGTTAGGCCTTTAAATGTCACTTTAAGCTGAATACTAGTATCTTAACAAATGTCTCGTGAAATATTATGTTATGTCATTGGTACAGTGTTTTTTTCCCTGCTTCCTAGGCAATAGCAACAGAAGGAAAGTACTGGAAAAGGAGAATTGAAATTGTTATCAGAGAATATCATAAATGGAGAACATATTTCAAGAAAAGAGTAAGTTGGAACCTAACTAGTGTCACCAAGACGTTATTTATAAAATACTTTCCCACATATCCAATATTTCCAAACATTAAAGGAGACCTGTTATGCAAAAATCACTTTTATAAGGTGTTTGTGTGCACTTAAGAATATAGTGCATCATTTTTTTTCACCTCTTTTTATGCAATTTTCACATTAAATTTAAAGCAGTATTATCTAAAAATCTTTAGTTGATGATGCTTACTTTTTTGAGTATCCTAGCAAATCCTTTGGTTTGTTGGTTGGTGTAACCTAATATTTTAAGCAGTTTTTGTTCACAAATTTAAGTTATTTCTACCATTAAAGGTCTGTTTACACAATTATAAAATCTTAAGCTCATTTTAATTGAAAATCTTTAGTTATGTTTAGTTTAGTATTCTTAAAAGGCAAAAGTCTGTGAATTTAACCAGCTTCTAATGGTGAAAGTGTATTAGTTTGAGAAAAACAGTCTGCTAAAACACTTTGATTGACATTCTCTCTTTGTACGTGTCATCAGAGGGAAAAAGGCCCCGCCCGTTAGTGCCCTTTCCCTCATTAGCACAGAAAGTTTGTCTTGATTTTGAATCTGCCACTATACTGACACACAGGCATTTGTAGCTCCACCCTCCTTTGAAAAGAGCACAGCCTCATTTAGTTTAAAGCGACATCACCAAAATGGCATAATTAGGATCAAAGCCTAAAAGGGGCATTTTCAAAGAGGTATAAAACATTATTAGTATGGTATTTTGAGCTGAAACTTTTCACACACACTAGAGGCATCATATTTGTATTTTACATCTTGTAAAAAATGGCATATTGGGTCCCCTTTAATACATAATTTGATGTCATCACTAAAAAAACATTGAATTCACAGTTACAGAAGCACAAGGATGAAGACCTGTCCAGCCTTCTCAAGGTAATCCTAAAAGGACTTTTCTAGAATGTTTTCAACTATAGCTTTGAGTCAAATTTATTTTGTTTGTTTTATTTACTTGCTAATAAATGTATTTTATTTTAAAGAGTATGTGCATGCCATTTTACAATAATTTTGATAATAAAAGTAGTAATAATATTAACAATTTTGTATATATCTGCATTCAATATGACCATTAACCAGCATCAGACCATAGTCAAGCATATGTGTATGTATTTTTGTTGATATTTTAACTTCACAAGGGCTACATCAGTTTTACATTTTACATCCAAGTGGTTTGACTTACAAAAAAGTTTGCTAACCCCTGGTTTAAAGGGATAGTTCATTCAACAAAATTATTTAAAAAGTAGTTTACTCACCTTTGTTTTAAACACATATACATTTCTTTCTTCTTGCACAAAATAATATATTTTGAGGAATCTTGGAAACCTGTAACCATTGACATTCATAGTATTCATATTTCCGACTATGGAAGTCAGTGGTTACAGGTTTTCAGCATTCTTCGAAATATCTTCTTTAGTGTTCAACAAAAGAAAGAATCTCTATAAAGCTTGAAACCACTTGAGGGTGAGTAAATATTTCATTTTCAATTTTGGGTGAACTTTCCCTTTAACGTTTAGATCATAGGTCTCAAACTCAATTCATGGAGCGCAGCAGCTCTGCTTTGCTTCAACTTTAATCACACACCGCTGATCTAACTAATCAAGGTGTTTAAGACTACTTGAGACTATTAAGCTGGTGGTGGTGGTTGGAGCTAAACTATGCAGAGCTGTGGCCCTCCAGGAATTGAGTTTGAGACCACTGGTTTAGATCAAAATGCTTTTCAAGATCTTTCACAAGAAGTGTAAGTTCAGCCAGTTCTGTTCTACGCTCAGATGCTTGAAGCTTGCATAGTGCTCTGCATGAGTCTAGAGTGTGTCTGTTGACCTGGCCTGCTTGTTGCATTTTGACCTCCTGAAGGGTGCGGAGGAACAGTTTTCACTGTTTGGGGAAGTGTGTCCAGACACCTGCCGTGTCCTCTTCTACCAGGACGAGGACATCAGCGCTGGAGGGCGTCGCAGGTCCCGCAGGAGCCGGGATTCACCTGTCCCAATGGAGATGGACTCGCTCTTTGACATGGACGTGCTCATGTCTGAATTCTCAGACACGCTCTTCTCCACACTGGCCTCTCATCAGCCTGTAGCGTGGCCCAATCCCAGGGAGATCGGTAAGATATTGAACACATTTATACTTACAGCAGGTAAAATTAGTGGTGAGCACATCATGATTTTTCCTGGTAAATGTATTTCTAAATGAGCTTTTGACATGAAAATTGCACCAGATTTTGGTAAAAATAAAGAATCCGAACAAGTAAATAAATAAAAACCCAAAAATTCAGAACAATTAGTTATGTGGTATATCAATGGATCACGTGTGCAGAGTTACTGAAGTTTGTCCTGCGCGCTTGCGTTTTTTTTTAGTTACTTCTTTGGTTTGGTGCGTTAATCTTATCGTTACTATTATTCAAAAGAAGGTAATGATTCGCACTCAATTGCTTCGTACTGTTTTTATTTTCACTTTTTCTTACATTCTACGGGTGATAACAGACAAACAGACGTTTCGGCACAAAGCCTTCCTCAGTGTGTATCAATGGATCGACACAACGGGAAGTTACTAAAATACTAACATGTTTAATATATTGTATAGAAGGCTTTTTTTTGGGGTAATGACAGCTTCAAGATGCCTCTTTTAGGGAGAATTGAGTTGCATGCACTGCTCAGGTGTGATTTGTCTTTTTCCAGACTTTAACAGAATCTAAAAATCTTACAGTTCTGTAATTCTCGTCTATCAACTCTAATGTTTACTTATTAATCTCCATTGGATTCGGGTCAGGGTATTGTCTAGGCCATTCTAGAGGCTTTACTTTCTTTTCTGAAACCAGTTGAAAGTTTGCGTGGCTATGTTTGGGATCATTGTCTTGGTAAAATGTCCACTCTGGTTTCATCTTCATCATCTGCTAATGTAGATGTTGGATTGAAGCAGCTAATATTCATTTACACTGACGAAGGGCACTGGTTTGCTGAATAATACTGGGTCCCACTTTATATTAAGTGGCCTTAACTAATAAGTACTTACACAGGAGTTAATAGTTTGTTACAATATACTTATTTTGTAAATACATGTATTTACTGTGTACTTATGCTGATTAAATACCTGTATGTAATTACATCTGTAATTCACTTCTGTAATTACATTTGTAAATACACTGTTGACCATCTCTTACACCTTAACCCACCCTTAAACCTACCCACACCACCAAACCTGTTCAAAACCCAACCCCTATCCCAACTCAAGAGCACCACAAGTGCTCTCAAATACATTATGAGCACAGTAAGTACATTGTATTTATTTTTTGATGCAAGTACATAGTAGTTAGGGACACTTAATATAAAGTGGGACCCAATACTGAGAAATTTCAGCTGCTGTCTGGGCTTTCCATGACTTTTTACGCCTCCCTTTCTTCATGTGTTCAATACTTTTCTCCTGTGACATTTTATTTATTATTTATTAGTTTTGTTTTCTTTGTATCTATTGATAACTTTAGTTGTAATCGACATCTGGTGAACATTTAAAGTCAGCAGCAATTTTAGAAATATATTTTAGCAGAATAATTGTGACTTTTCAGTACTTAATTTACTGCTGTATGTAAGATGAACTGTCTCCAAGCTCTGCTGTCTTCTTAGCTCATGCAGGTAATGCGGATATGATCCAGCCAGGCCTCATTCCACTGCAGCCCAATCTGGACTTCATGGACACTTTTGAGCCTCTGCAAGGTGCAAGCACTGTTCATCTCCTTTTGGATTTGTGATTATTGAATGTGTTTATGAAGTTTATATTTAATATAGAAAAACATTTTTAAAAATGAACTCTTGAGCAGTTTGGTTATGGTAGTAAAGCAGTCTGGTCAAAGCAAACTGCATCATAATGCATATTGGAGAATGCATTGTGTATAAAGGTCAATAAACTGGTTAATTCTGAGCAGGTACAGGACAGTTTTACTTCTATGCATGAACACATTTTGGTCAACTTTATAATGTTGCCTTTCGAAAGCAAAAGAAATAATTTGTTCAATTGAAGTGAATGTTTTGGAACAAAGCACATTATTGTGACACTGGATCACTGGATCTTATGTCTTAGTCTTATGTTGCACGTGTTGCACAAATTTTAATGGTCAAAATTATAGATTTATCCTACTGTAAATGTCAAACTACGTTTTTATTAATAATTTACATTGCTAAGAACTTAATTTGAATAATTTTAAAGATAATTTTCTTAGCATTTAGATTTTTGTAACTCTCAGATTCCATATAGTTATTATTCCATTTTGAGAAATGTAAACAAAAACTATGGTTCTAATGAATTTCCTGTATTACATTTTTAGTTTTCATAGCTCCCAGGTCCAAAAAGGTCCAAAAATTGATATATAATGTGAGGGAAGCGGTTTTAACATTAAGATATGATTAAATTTCCTTTTGTTACAGTTATGAAATAGTTTGGCAACAAGCAGGAAATGTTTATGGGCCAATGACATGACCACAGTGAAATGGTCTATAGGCCAAATCTCAGCCAAATATTATCCTATATTAGCAAATTATAAATCAATAGAAAGCTTAATTATTCATATCATTTTCTAAGAACTCTACTGACTAGATTTGTGGTCCAACATCACCATTTTAATGATTTGAAAATGCCTTGAATAACTTTAGTAAACTATTCTTTGTTGAAGTCTAACAGATTCACTGAAAGTAGTTGTAGATTGTATTCACTGAATCAAAAGCCTTTTTCACTTCTCTTTTTTTGTTTTAAACTAGATTTGTTTCACACCCTGCGTCCGCCAGTCTTTCCCTCCACTTCCCCCACTGCCCCATCAGTCACTCCCTTAACCAGCAGCAGCTCCCAAACACAGGTAACAGTCCTGACCACGCATGCACCAATCTGTAGATCTCTACCTTCTTCCTGTTTTGTGTAAATTCCCTGTTCTCCATCACAAAATGTCTTCATGATGAATCTGAAACTATACAGTGTCAGGTAATGCATTAAATCATCAGAAATGAAGAATCATTGCAGTTTGCTTGCTTGCATGTAGAATTCAAATGCTTCAAAATATACATAAATAAATCCGAAATCAAGCAGTTAATTCCAAGTTTTTTGAAGAGACGTAATCCCTTTTTTAATGAACAACTCATTTATTTAAAACGTCTGCTGCCATTTTGATTAAAAGGGGAAGAAAAAACTATTTCTAACTTATGTAAGAATATTTTGACAATAAAATGTGTATTTTTTTGATGATATTAGACGTTTTTATTTAGGAAATATGAATGTTTTAAACCGTGCCATTTAGAGGAATTTTAGAGTTCTTATTATTGATCAAATTTAAAAAACTTTTATGGCTTTACATCCCCAGGTGGAAGTAGAGAATAAAGAGAATAATTAGCGTAGCTGCTGTTCATAGTGTATAAAAACAAGATGCAAAAACCTGCGTGGAGCACATTCATTTATCATGCGAGAGTGTGTGTGAGCCTCGGACATTATCAGGAAGGCTATTCCAGAGTTGAGGAGCCATAAATAAGAAGGCTCGACCTCCTTTACTCAAATTCGCTGTTTGAGGTACTACGAGAAGCCCTGAGTTTTGAGATCTTAAAGAGTGGGTTGGATTGTAGCAAGACAGAAGGTTGGTTAGATAAACAGGAGCTCGATTATTTAAAGCTTTACAAGTAATATTTTAAAATCAATACGAAACTTAACAGGCAGCCGGTGTAAGGAGGATAAAATTGGGGTGGTATGATCATATTTTCTAGACCTGGTAAGAACTCTGACAGCTGCATTTTGTACTAGCTGAAGTTTATTAATAGAGGATGCTGGGCAGCCAGCAAACAGAGCGCTACAGTAATCCAGCCTAGAAGTCATAAAAGTATGGACTAGCTTTTCTGCAAAAATAGGTGGATGGAATCGTAGCTGTCTTCTGACTTCCTACTCCTAAAATACTGGCTCTGTAATTTTGATATTAGTTGCTCCCAGTGCAGACAACCCAGCTATTAAATGAATTGGTTTTGTTGTATAGCTGGCTGTATATTAAGCTGTATAATAATTTGTATAGTGGCTCTTACAGGGCAAAATAAATTGTTTTATAGGAGGAGATGGCAGAGAAGAAAGAGTTAGTCTTTTTTTTATTTTGTTTAGGTAGCAGCATAACATTGCAGTAGAAACACAAAAGAAGAAAAAAAGGACAGGAAGGAGTCATTTATGGTCAGGTCAACAGGAAGTGCAGTCTTGCAACATATCCTCTAAAAGCTCTGAGTTCAGTGGTCACAGAGAGCATTTTGTTAACAAGAAGCTGGATGTTGTTGCATGGAGGTGCGAGGACAGATATTGTGATTTTGACTATTGTTTTAATAATGTGCACCTTTTTTGAGGCTCCTTTGGAATGATAATTATTGTGAAAAGGGCTATGCAATTTTTATTTTATTATAAATATACAAAATGAAAGATATAATATCTAGCCAGGATGTTAATGTGGAGTATAGAGTGCCAGATGCTTCTTCGACATCACGAGAAGATAAGTATGAGGTTGAAACCGAGACCACAGAGGAAAAGTGTGCAGCGGAGAGAACGTGATGGTTAAGGGCAGAGTGATGATAAAAGGAGATGTTGGGGCTGGAGAAAGTTTATCAGGTCTTTGCTCATGTTGTGAACCCCAGGCAATTTCTAGACTCTAATGTCTTTCTAAAGCCCGCACAGTGAAACAACCTTAGAAAATAAATAAAAAAATAAAAACTGACTATAAAAAATTCTTCATTAATGGATTAGAAAAAAGGAAAAACTAAAAAAGAGAATAATTTTGTTGTGTTTTATTTATTGCTTTTTAAGAATATGCATCATAAAATATTTTATTTTTTCAGAAATAGTATGTCAAGATCAAGTTTTTTTCTCCTTAAAACAAAAATCTTATTAAAGATTAAGTAAAATAATGATATAATTAATAATAATATTTTTTTTTCAAAACATGATTCTTTTACTCCATTGCAGATCTCACTTAATTTTGACTTGTTACATTTGAAAATAAACAGTATTTTTTACTTATCGTAAAAAATTCCTTCTAATTTTGAGAATATTTTGGTATTTGGAACAGAAATGTGACTCTGCTTTTTTTTTCAGGATGATATTCTTGGGGTATTTTACAGTTTTAACCTAAAGAATGACCTGTCTGTCAGATGAGGAAGAGCTGGAGTCAGAGATTCAAATAAATAAATAAAGTTCACTGAAGATAGTTTGCTGTTTAATCGGCAGAAGTCAGCTTCAACACTCGCAATGAGTTCCTAGGCCGCTCTGCATACAATCACAAATCAATAACAATTATACTCTCACATGACGTCATTAACTGCATCATAAATATAGGTGTTCTAAACTAATTGGTTAAAACACAGATAGACTTAGAACATTTCCACGTTGCTCCGTATGTACAATTCTGAACAATATCTTAACCATATAAACGTCCGACATTCACTAGACTGTTTAGAGCTGACTCCAGATTTGTGCAACGGATCCACAATTAAATAGAGCACACACACACTTAATGTACAATGTGTTTCTTACCCAAGGCTGAGTGTACTCTCAGCCTTCTTCTTCAAAACTGGTTAAAACCGGTATAATCTACATTCAGGCAGTTATATCCTTACTACACAAAGTCTATCTTAAATAAAAAGTAGAATCACTTTAAAATAATTAACCGTAAAAATAGCTAAATCTCTTTAGACATTTTAGATGGTGTTAACTTAACAGAAACGGTCCTCAGCCCTTCAGTTGCGCTCAAGGTCTCAGTGAACACTGAACTAGTTTGGTGGCTCCTAAAAATAATTTCAAAGAGACAGGCAAATGCACTGAACATTCTTATATTAAGTGATGTGTTAACTTTATTCATTATTCAATAGAGATGTAACAATATTGTAAATACCGTCATACCGCAATAGCAATTTCTTTCAATATTACCATGGTTGTGACTCAGTAAATTCTTAGTTCTTTTGGTGAAAAGTTTGCTCAGGCCAATGGTAGGTAGCGGAAACTACAATTTTCATCAGCCCAGGCGTGGCCATCATCCTTTGCGGTCTGTTGTCGCTACAGATCCAGTAATGCAGAAATGGAGGGTGCTGCTAGTAGCGGCAAAGAAAAAGAGCTAAAAATGGTCGAACCTAAAGCGGGTTTTAAATCAGATGTGTGGAAGCATTTCAGTTTCTCTCTGAAAAGCAACAAGAAAGAAGAAAAGGTGACAGAAAAAAGGGTATGCAGGCACTGCCAGACTGTGCTGAAATACAAGTCAGGGAATACGACTAACATGATGGGGATTCTTTTAGTCATGGGGACAGCAGAACACAGCACACTGCTCAGATTGATGGAGACATTAGCCCCTTTCACACATACAGACCTTTCCGGAAAATTGCCGGCAATTTTCCGGAAAGGTTGTATGTGTGAACAGGTCCTTTTTGAAAATACCGGTAAATTCGTTCTGGCTATTTTCCGGAAAGAGAAGTTGTAACATTACCGGCAATTTGCCGGAATGCTGCGCTGTGTGAATGAAGAAGGAAGATTGCCGTAATAAGCGCGTGCACGTCTAGAACGTGCTGACGTAAGACGTCTGCTTTAGCCAATCACAACAGTCAGACGCATTTACGTCTGTGTGGTTTGTGAGAATAAAAGCCTTTGAATATTTTTCCAGACACATTTAGCTGCTAGAAGTTAGTCAGATCACGTTTTTATGTTCTTCTTAATGCCAACTGTGTAAATAATCATCGATGAGATGCTTATGATAAGCCATTGTTTGTTTACCTTCAAGCTTTGCGTGTGCCTGTGAAACAGCCTGTGAGCGCCTGCACACGCACATATTATGAACATCTCGACATGCGAAAGTGATCCTGCGAAAGTTGTTCACAATATTGATCATCCACAGAGTTTGTAATTTAGTCAAATGTTTACAAATACAAGAGCAGCCGTTTAAAGCTCATTTGTGGTGAATGATGTCAGAATTTACCGGTATTTTGGAATGGATGTGTGAATGCTCTTTTCCGGAAAATTTCCGTAGTGTCCTCTCCTGTGTGAACAGCACTTTTTTCAATATACCGGTAAAGTCGTTCCGGAAATTTTCCAGATATTTACCGGTATAACTGTGTGAAAGGGGCTATTTACTTGTACCACCAAGAGACTTCTATCTCACTCATGGCTTGTCCTTTCGAGTGGTGTGTTTTTTTTTATTTACATTGTTTAATATTTTTTGTTATTAAAATTGAATAATTTAAGTTCCTGTTTGAAAGTTTACAAATAGATAATTTGTATGTCGTTGATCTGTTCAGTGTTGAGGTAACCTGAACATTCTAGCACTTTTTTGAGTCTCTTCAATAGTTTAGTTTTTCCTTTAAATGATTCAATAAATACCGCACCGTTCCATTCATACCGAGGTATTACCGTATCGTGAAATTTTAATACCGTTACATCCCTATTATGCAATAATCATCTTTAATAAAACAGGATGATGATAAAAGGATAAACGTTGATCAGTGCAGAGACTGATTGAAAGGTAGAAATCCGAATCCTTCAATATTAGGGATGTAACGGCATCAGAATTTCACGGTACGGTAATACCTCGGTATGAATGTCACGGTACGGTATTTATTGAATCATTTACAGGAAAAAACAAAACTTATGAAAATACTCCAAAAAAGTGCCAAAAGTGTCAATGACATACAAATTAGCCATCTATCTGTAAGCTTTGAAACAGGAACTTCAATTTTAATAACAAAAAAAATATTAAACCATGTAAAAAAATAAAGTTTAAATTTAGTAGTGTTGAAAAATCACATTCAACATTTAATCACTCACTCACTTAGATAGAGATGGGTTTAAAGGAAAATTATCATATAAATATAATCTGGTAAAAGCTGGTATCTCTGGGTATTTACAATGTCCCCTGCAACAGGTTGACAGCAGTGGGTAACGTTGTGCATTGTCTTTCCCCCACTTGAGAGCACAAACCATGAGTGAGATAGAGATCTCATGTCTGCATCAATCTGAACAGTGTGCTGTGTTTCTGCAGTCCCCATGACTGATTATTAGTTGTATTCCCCAACTTGCAGGCACGTGCACACACAGTGCTCAACCTGTGCAGTGAACATGCCCTTTTTAGTCTTTGATAGAATGTTCCCTTCCAAAATGATCAAAAGTGCCCCCGCGGCGCGACATACCCTCCGTCCCCGCTTTACAGTACGCGCGCGACAACACAGCTGATAAGAACTTTCAACCACTATTCAGGACGCGCGCGGCGACAACACCCGCTTTAGAGTTTTACAGCTCTTTTTGATCCCCGCTTCTAGCAGCACACTCCATTTCCGCATTACTGGATCTGTAGCGACAACAGACCGCAAGGGATTATGGCCAAGCCTGGGCTTATGGGAATTGTAGTTTTCCGGTACCTTCCGTTCGCTTCATTCGCCTGAGCAAATTTTCTCAGAAGACCTATAGTTTTACCGAGTCATGCGACTACGGTAATATCGAAAAAAATTAATATTGCGGTATGACGGTATTTACAATACCGTTACATCCCTATTCAATATCTATATCCGCTTTTTGTTGTTTAGGCTTCCCTGCTTTCATCCCTGCCGCTCTCCACGGAGCTTCCTTCTCTGCCTCTGGACTACCGCCTCATGCCCTCTGCTCCTCTGCCTGGCCATCTCTCGGTGGCCAACCAGGACAATGGTAACTCCGTCGGTCCGTCCTACCAACAGCCCTACATGCCTCTTTTCACAGAGCAAGTGAGCTCCTCCGTCCCGTCTATCCTGCCTCCCCCAGCTCCACCTCTCCCCTCAGCCCCACAGCCTCTCAGCACAGTCACTACAGTCCCCCAGCCCAGCCAGAGCGTCCCGCCTTCATCAGTAATAACGCACACCGCCTCCTCCACAGTGACTCCCACTGACGCAGCCACTACCGTCAGCCACAGGTCCAGTTTTGAGCTGCCCCCTGCGCCATCTCCACAGCCTGTAGTCTCCAGCTCTGCCTCGCTCGGCTCACAGCCAGTCAACTTCGCCTTGCCCAAATCCATCCAGCCTCCCATCTCTAGCAAAAAGTCCAGACACTCACAGAGACCGATTGTCCCGGCGAATCCACTGCCGTCTCCTCAGCTCATACTGACAGGTTTGTGTCTCTCCTGAAATCGATTTTGTAACATGCTCGATATGCGATGGGATAGTTTACATAATTGTCGGTTCTGTTGTCTAGGATGTGGGTTTGATTTGGTTTAAAAAATGCATCAATAGCATTTAAATAAATCAGACATTAGTATACAATACACTACCTGACAAAAGTCTTGTTGCCTATCCAAGTTTTTGGAACAGCAAATAATATCACTACTGAGAGTTCAAACACTGAAGAGCGAATCCATCGATGTGCAGCTCTAAAGATCCCGAACCATGTAATATTTGGTATCAGAATATTTGGTATCAGAAGTGGCTTATATGAAAGGCAAAGGCCTCTAGATTACGCTTCTTTTACCTAAATAAAATATTATTATATATTAATTTTTAATTAAGACAGTAAGGTCTGACTTTGCTTTGACAAAAGTCTTGTCACTTAACAGAAATAATGTCCAGTATAGAATATAAAGTCATGCTGCAGTGGAAACAGAATGAATATTGTGTCCATCATGAGCTTGGAGGACTGCATCCACACATCTCTGCAGTGACTCTAATCACCTATTAATAAAGTCATCTGGAATGGCAAAGAAAGCGTTCCTGCAGGACTCTCATGCTGCGTTCACACCAGACATGGCACGCGCGTCAAGCGCGAGTGATTTACATGTTAAGTCAATGCAAACGGGCGGATAGACATCCTGCGGCACGATATGCGCGAATTGCGCAGGGCGAATTGACGCGCTTAACGAGCGTTTCGCGCGAATCTCTCGAGTTCGAAAATCTGAACTTCAGCGGACATTCGCACCGCGTTAACCAATCAGAAGCTTTCTCTTGTGGGGGCATGATTGTGACGTAGAACCTGTTGATGGTCTCCCGGGGGAAATCCTCCAGGCGACACCGACAACAAGTCAAACTGGGCTGGGCTCAGTCAGAAGCATCGTTGAAAGCCTCCGTGATCCAGGTTCAGTTTCTGGAGGAGTTTATGAGCTCACAGAGCTGGATGCACCTCTGAAAGGATGCAGTGGACTCAGACACAACCCTAAACGTATCAACGCTGTTTTTCAGTCTCCATAAAGCACATAAACATTGTTATTTTCTTAATAAAATCCATGTTAGCCATTTAGCTATGAAGCTTGAGTCACCGGGCAGACAGATGCCCTGCCCATCAAGCAAATCCGCGTCTGTTTTTAAGTGAATTTGACACGCGAATGAAGCAGATTTGACACGCAAATAAAGCGGGGGTTTACGCGCGAATGAAGCAAGTAAACTCAAATGTTCACGCGGCTATTTACGAGCGAATAGCGCAATTTTTCCGCGCGTTCCACGTCTGGAGTGAACACAGCATCAGAGTTCATCAAGATTCTTTAGATTCATCTGTAATGCCTCCTGTTTCATTTTACCCTAGACAAGCTAATAATGTTCATGTCTGGTGACTGGGCGGGCCAATCCTGGAGCGTCTTTGCTTTTAGGAACTTTGATATTGAGGCTAAAATATGAAAGAGCGCCATACTGCTGAAGAATTCGCCCTCGTCTGGGGTTTGTAATATAATGAGCAGCACAAATGTCTTAATACCTTAGACTTTTGATAGTCATCCACTCTGCAGATCTTTCCAACGCCCCCATACAGAATGTAACCCCAAACCATGACTTTTCCTACACCAAACTTGACTGATTTCTGTGAGAATCTTGGGTCCTTGTGGGTTCCAATAGGTCTTTCAGGAATCAGTCTCATGCTCTCCACTCCTCCATGACCGCCACAGCATCTGCTCAATTAACCTAATGGCACTTTAGGCTAAATACGAGTATCTTGCACCATATAGGAAATTGAAGCAAATAAATTAGTTATTAAAACTACTATGTTTGAAAATGTGTTTGTCTCTCTGTTAAACAGCTTTTTGGGAAATATTTGAAAAAAAAAATTTGTAATTTCAAATGAGGGCTATTAATTGTGTTTTAAATGTCCATCTATCATCATACCCATCATTCCCAGGTCCCACCAGTGCTGTCATTGTCACTCCGTCTCCTCTCTCCACTGATGTTGTCTCCACCACCGGTATGGTCATTGCCTCCTCCGGTATTCCTTGTGTAAGCCCTTCATCATCCCTCATCTTCTCTTGTGTTTGCAATAGGCCGTTTAATATTTAACAGGCTTATGTATTATTCAGAATTACTTTGAGAGAAACTTTTGTATTTGAAGAGGATGCAGAATTGTAATTTCATGGCTGCATTTATTTGATCAGAAATGCAGTAAAACCTTAATATTGTGCTATCACAATTTAAAATAACTTAATGTATTGAGGAGAGTCTGCACAGTATTGTACAACTGTAGAGTCTTTTTCTTCAAGCCTATGGTGCCATTAAGAATGCAGGCCATGTTTACAATTCCTGCTAACATTTTGCCTGCATAATTATGAGACACTTTTATTACTGGTACATAATCACATATATAATGCAATCCTGCATTAAAAAATCCTGGAAAATTCTTGATTTTTAATATAGTGTTTTCAAAGTTAGAAAAGTTCTTGGATTTTGGACAAAGTGCTTGAACCTGCTTGAATTTAAAATTGCAGAGCTCGAAATTTGTTCACCGGATGTGCAGATTCAGGAGCTATTTATGCAGAATGCATATTTGCACCTAAAAACTCCAAACGCAGTGCTCAGGAATAGTTTAAAACTGTTGACATGTCAACTTGCTGCAGTAAACAAAACCTGCAATAAATAAATAAAAAAAATAAATAAATAATGAAAAGTAATATTGATGAAAGCTTCCAAACAATTGTTTCCATATTTGGTGACTGATTTTCAAAACAGCTGACATAGGAACAGTTCATTAAATTGCAGCAAGAATATTCTCAGTCTCATAAGGATTTAATTTGTTACATGAATTTTGAACAGCAATGCACATGAAATATTATGAACGTCTGGTAATGAATGTTTGGTACTACACCCAAACAAAATGCGACTGTAAGCTATTTTTTTTTTTTTTTTTTTGAGATATTAGCTTTAGTTAAGAGAACAAACTTAAAGATAATTCATCCAGTAACTGAACTTTTTTTTTTTTTTTTTTTTTAGCATTTTTTGGTGAACTGTCCCAATAAATACAGTTGAAGTCAGAATTATTAGCCCCCCCTGAATTATTAGCGACCCTGTTTATTTTTTTCACAAATTTCTGTTTAATGGAGGGAAGATTGTTTCAGCACATTTCTAAGCATAATAGTTTTAAAAACTTATTTCTAATAACAGATTATTTTATCTTTGCCATGATGACAGTAAATAATATTTTACTTGATTTTTTCAAGACACTTCTATACAGCTTAAAGTGACATTTAAAGGCTTAACTAGGTTAATAAGGTGAACTTGGCAGGTTAGGGTAATTAGTCAAGTTATTTTATAACAATGGTTTGTTCTGTAGATTATCGAAAAAAAAATAGCTTGAATGGGCTAATAATTTTGTCCCAAAAATGTTTTTTAGAAAATTAATAACTGCTTTTATTCTAGCCAAAATAAAACAAATAAGAGTATCTCCAGAAGAACAAATATTATCAGACATACTGTGAAAATGTCCTTGCTCTGCTAAAAATTATTTGGGAAATATTTAAAGAAATAAAATAAAATCAAAAGGGGGCTAATAATTCTGACTTCAACTGTATATGCTCCAAAGTATTAAACAATTTAAGTTGAAATGTTATATTGTGTTATTTTTAAAATAGCACAATGGATTTAGATGAGTGTTTGAAAAGTGCTGGATTTTGAAGTTGAAAAATATGTAGGAACCCTGATAATGGAGACCATACTTAGGAAGTATAAAAAAAATCACAATTTCTTGCACATGTTTTCTCTAAGATGGCTTAATTCTTTTGAATTGCAGTTCAGTAAATTACTTTTCTTCCTATTAAATTCTGCATCCTCTAGCGTTTACTTATCTCAGTTTCCTGAATTAAAAATGAAACAATTTTGACATGGTTGTACCCAACCCTAAAAATATTTATTTTCCCCAAACAATATAATATTTTGCATTGTTTTGCAGGGTTCTGCTGGATTTCATATTCTCCCTCAGACGCAGAAATCTCCTCAGCTCATCGTACCCAAAGAGGAAACTGCAACAACTGTGTCCAACAAGAAGACATCAGTGCAGTCAGCAAGTAAAAGTCAGTCCACTCGGCTTGAATTAATGCTTAGTTTTGATTTATTTTCTTACTTGACCTGCTCAGAATCCTGAATTGTGTATTCTTTTACCTTTTCCTGTAGCACGTGATGGCCGAATCTCAGGTCAAGGGTCACCACTGGGAGTAGAACAGGTGCCAAGCCCTCAGTCACCCCTCAGCACCAGTACAGGCATGAGCAAAAATGAAAACAGTCAGGTATAGTTCATAAGCGCTTGCTCTACCATTTTGTAGGTCTATGCAAATTTGACAAGAGCTGCTGCAAAAGGCAATTTTACCTGCGTTTTCCTGTTGAGAGGAAGTCTTGCTACTTTTAGTTTGGCTGTAAAGGTTTTAAATTAAAATAAATTTTAAATTCAAGTGTTTTTTTTTCTTAAGTTGGTCATCTGAGCATGATTGTAAATAATATTATCATTAAAGATCCATATATCTGCCATTTAATAATATCACTGTGTTTTTGTTGTTGTTGTTGTTGTTGTGTTCTTTGACAGAGTCGCAGAGTGAACCACATATCTGCCGAGCAGAAGAGGCGATTCAACATCAACATCTGCTTCAAGACATTGTGCAGTCTTGTGCCGACTCTCAAGTCTCAATCAAATGTAAATCTCCATTTACCTTCCTTAACTTAATTTTTACATTTCGCCTTTTTTTATGTACTGCGTAATTCGCTTGCATGTACTTGCCTCTGCACAACTATAAATGTACAGTAACACTAGGTGCAGCTCCGAATTAAAGGGATAGTTCACCAAAAAGTGAAAATGAAATGTTTTAAATACTTGTAAATTTACCTTTCACTTGTTTCAAACCTTTACGAGTTTCTTTCTTTTGTCGAGCACAAAAGAAGATATTTTAAAGTAAGGGTGTCACGATTCTTCAAATCCTCGATTCAATTACATTTTCGATTTTAAAGTCACGGTTCGATTCGATTTTCGATTATGAATAAGTAATTAATAACGAATTAATTATTTGTAGTCTACCATTTAAACTACTTGACCTGCATGGTTTTTGTTTTACCCAAAAACAAATCCTACAGTACAAGTTACACACATAATTGCCACCTGTCAATCACTTTTCTGCAGGACTCGTGAATAGGCAGTGATCTGTGTCGTTATAATGGCGTCGGTAAAAAAGGTGCACAACCAACAGCAACCAGACAACGGTATCTGAGGTGTTCGCTAAAATGACTAAGTACTAGTGTGAAAGTAAAAGATTGAAGCAGTCTACTGACCCTCTGACTGCCTGGACCCGCTGTCTCGAGCGCATGACTGTGTGTGCGTCTGTGTGTGTGTGTGTGCGTGATGTGGGTTTTCATTGGTAGTGAGGAAGGAGGGCTGCTCAGAAATGCTACACGCCACTGTTGATGTGGATCGTTGTCGTTCTAAAATGCCATTTAAAAACAAAGACCTATTAGTGTAAACAGGGCCTGAGTGTGTATTTTTCGCGAGCGGATTTGCAACGGGGGCGAGGCAGAAGATTGCGATGCGCCCATCGTCTATCGACCCAACCCTAATACGTACATAGCAGAGCTTGCAAACTGTGTTTTTTGTGTTTTTTTTTTTTTTTGTCGACAACACGAACGTTGTCAACATAACTCACTGGAAATCCAAAATGCTTACACACCGGCGACTTTATTGAAGGAGGAGAGGGTTTCAGCTCTGTCGACGGGTCTCCTGCTTCTGCAGTTTAACAAGCACTTCAACAAGCATGTTTTTTTCCCGCTTGGCAAGCCAAGCTGACGTGACATGGGGGCGTGGCAGCATCGACGATTCTATTTTTTGATTTGATAATCGAAATTGAGCACAAATTTCGATCGATTTCGATTTAAAATCTAAATCATGACACCCTTATTTTGAAGAATGTTGGAAACCTGTATCCATTGACTTCCATATTATTAGTTTTTTCCACCTATGGAAGCCTATATTGTCTTTAGTGTTCAACAGAAGAAAGAAACTCATGAAGACTTAAACAACTTGATGACAGAATCTACATTTTGGGTGAACTATCCCTTTAAAGTCTCTTTTAAATCAAGCAACTGAAATATTTTGCCCTCATGCACATGGGTTTCTTTAGAAATGTTTGCACCTAATATCAGAAAAAAACCGGTTAAAATGAAATAAAAAAATTAACATTTTTAATTATTCACTTAGTCATGTAACTTCTTTTCTGGGTTTTCAGATCAGTAATGCTTCGACACTTCAGAAGACTGTTGATTACATTGGCAAACTGCAACTAGAGAGACAACAGATGCTGGAAGAGACCAAGAGACTGCGAGAGGAGATCGAGGAGCTCAACACGTCCATAAGGTAAAACCTTCTGCTTCATAAAGTCAGACGTCTACACGTGAAGCTGTATATTTAGACTCTATTCTCTGTCTGCTGCAGCTTGTGTCAGGAGCAGCTTCCGGAAACAGGGGTTCCCATCACACGCCATCGCTTTGACCACATGAGGGAGAAGTTCGATGACTATGTGAAGAACCGAACTCTTCAGAACTGGAAATTCTGGATCGTATCCTTAAATCATTGAACTAAATGACACAAAGCCTGTTTAGTTTATTCAATCCAACAAATAGCTTTCGAATCGGTGTTGTGTTTTGTTGCGTTGTTTCCTTGTATTGCGTTGTTTCATGGCATTGTTGCTTTGCGTTAGGTTGCATTGCGTTGTTTTTGCGTTTCGGTGCGTTGTTTTAATGCTGTGTTTTGTTGCGTTTTGTTTTGTTGCATTGTGTTTCTTTGCAATGTTTTGTTGTGTTGTTTCTGTGTTGTGTTGCGTTGCATTGATTCGTTGCATTGTGTTGCAAATTGCATTTCATTCTTTTGCATTGTTTCTGTGCATTGTTACCTTGTGTTTCATTGCGTTGTGTTGTTTCCTTGTGTTTCGTTTGTGTTGTGTTTTGTGTTGCGTTGTTGCATTGCATTGTTTCCTTGTTTAATTGCGGTGTTTTGTTGTGTTTCTGTGTTTTGTTGCATTGTTTCGTTTGCGTTGTGTTTTGTGTTGCGTTTTATTGCAATGCGTTTTGTTGCATTGCATTGTATCCTTGTTTAATTGCGGTGTTTTGTTGTGTTTCTGTGTTTTGTTGCATTGTTTCGTTTGCGTTGTGTTTTGTGTTGCGTTTTGTTGCATTGCATTGTATCCTTGTTTAATTGCGGTGTTTTGTTGTGTTTCTGTGTTTTGTTGCATTGTTTCGTTTGCGTTGTGTTTTGTGTTGCGTTTTGTTGCAATGCGTTTTGTTGCATTGCATTGTTTCCTTGTTTAATTGCGGTGTTTTGTTGTGTTTCTGTGTTTTGTTGCATTGTTTGGTTGTGGTGTTGCGTTTTGTTGCATTGTTTCATTGTGTTGTTTCAATGTGTTTTGTTGCGTTTTATTGCTTTGTGTTTTGTAGCGTTGTTTCGTTGCATTGTTTCGTTATGTTATTTCCTTGTGTTTCATTGCGTTGTGTTGTTTCCTTGTGTTTCCATGTTTTGTTGCATTGTTTGGTTGTGTTTTGTTGCGTTATGTTATGTTGCATTGCATTGTTTTGTTGCATTGTTTCCTTGTTTCATTGCCTTGTTTCGTTGTGTTGTTTCCTTGTTTCCGTGTTGTATTGCATTTTTTGGTTGCGTTGTTGCGTTTTGTTGCATTTTCGTTGTGTTTTATTTTGTTGCGTTGCATTTTGTTACATTGCATTGTTTTGTTTTGTTTCATTGCTTTGTGTTTTGTTGCATTGTTTCATTGTGTTGTTTCCTTGTGTTTCCGTTTTTTTGCATAGTTTGGTTGTGTTGGGTTTTGTTGTGTTGTTGCGTTGCCTTTTGTTTCATTGCATTGTTTCATTTCATTGTGTTGTTTCGTTGCATTGTTTCCTTTTGTTTCATTGCATTGCGTTTAATTGCTTTGTTGCGTTGCATTATTTCAGTGTTGTGTTGCTTTGTGTTGTTTTGGTGCGTTGTTTTGGTGCATTGTTTCTTTGTGTTTCATTACGTTGTTACGTTTTTTTTTGAGCATTATCTCCCTGGACTGAACTCTTCCACATTCTCAGTGTTTCCTTTAATATCTCTCTCAGTTTAGCGTCATCATTCAGCCTCTGTTTGAGTCCTTCAATGGGACAGTGTCTACAACCAACAACACAGAGCTGTGTGAAACCACCATGCAGTGGCTGGACCGTTACTGTTCCCTCCCAGCCCTCCGGCCCAGTAAGATCTCTGTCTTCCTCAGCTTATTCAAATGTCAGCAACTAGAAAAACACTGAAAACTAATATTAACTGGACATTAATCACTCAGACTAATCTTCAGCCTTACATTAGGAAAGTGGCTGGTACGAGTCCCAGCTGGGCCAGTTCTGTGCGGCATTTGCATGTTCTTCCCTCTGGGTGCTTCGGTTTCCCCCATAGCCCAAAGACATGTGGTATAGGTGAATTGGATTAACTAAATTGGCCGTAGTGTGTGTGTGTGTGTGTGTGTGTGAATACAAGATTGTATAGGTGTTTCCCAGTACTAGGTTGCGGCTGGAAGTGCATCCGCTGCATAAAACATACGCTGGAATAGTTGGCGGTTCATTCCGCCCCTGATAAATAGGGGTCTAAGCTGAAAAAATGTGAATTAGTGAATGATTTTGTCTCCAGTTTGACTTGTTTGGCATCTGTTTGCTTGTTTCTTTGTGTGTGTGTGTGTGTGTACATTAACAATATGTTTCTCTGTCCTACAGTGGTGCTCAGGACGTTACGGCAGCTCTGCACCAGCACCTCCATCCTGACCGACCCCTCACTTTTACCTGAGGAAGCCAAAAAGGCCGCTCTCAACCCCAAAAAACATTCCTCAGGGTCTTAGTTTTAACACAGTGACTTCTGAAATGTGCTTTTCAGGCATAACAGTCATGATCAGGAGCCTCCAAAACAACACCTTGCGCATGTGGATCTAAGGATCTGTGCTTTGCTGTTACTCACTGAACTCCTTCAGAGTGGTGAAAACTGCTCGATTGTGTACTTTACGCGTGTTTACAGAACAGTTTTGAGCTCTCTGTGTGTGTACCTGCTCAAATCTCTTCTGTTTGCCTCACTTATGCACTAAGGACACTACCCACAAAGCAGTCACGTTGAATTTATCTAAATGGGCCAGTCTAGGAACAAAAGCCTTTTTTACTAGAGCTGTGTCGAGAATTTGTTTCAAGTAATTGATTCTGTATTGATTCTAAATGTATCGCTCTTCTCTCTTGAATAGATTCTGAGCATAGTTATTACAAGCTTGACTTCAATTCCCTACAAATACTAGTTTAACCTAAAATAAGTGTCATCTGCTGATTGAGACTGACCTAGAACGCAATCTGCTGATAAAAGCTAGTCCTAGAGCAACGTTTGCTGTTAAAAACTAGCCTAAAAGCTAGCCAAGAGCATCATCTGTTGGGATGACGTTAAAAGCTAGCCTGGAGCATCAAAAGTAGTTAAGAGAGCCATCTGCTGTTAGAGATATACCTAGAATGCCATTTGCTGATAAAAGCTAGTCCTAGAGCAACGTTTGCTGCTAAAAACTAGCCTAAAAGCTAGCCTAGAGCACCTGTTAAAAACTAGCCTAGAGTGTCATTGCTGGAATGACGTTAAAAGCTAGCCTGGAGCATCAAAGCTGGTTACGAGCGCCATCTGCTGCTAGAGATTAACCTAGTACGCCATCTGCTGATAAAAGCTACCCCTAGAGCGACGTCTGCTCCTAAAAACTAGCCTAGAGTGTCATCAGCTGGAATGACGCTAAAAGCTAGCTTGGAGCATCAAAACTAGTTAAGAGCGTTAAACTAGTTAACTAGTTAAGAGTTAATCTGCTGTTATAGACTATCCTAGAATGCCATCTGCTGATGAAAGCTAGTCCTAGAGCAACGTCTGCTGTTAAAAACTAGCCCAAAAGCTAGCCTAGAGCGCCTGTTAAAAACTAGCCTAGCGCTGTCTGCTGTTAAAACCTTGCCTAGAGCACCATATGCTGATAAGAACTAGCCTAGAGTGTCCTCTGCTGTTAAAAGCCAGCCTAGAGCACCATATGCTGTTAAAAGCCAGCCTAGAGTGTCATATGCTGTTAATAGATAGCCTAGAGCATTGTCTGATAATTAAAAACTAGCTTAGACTGCCATCTACTGTTAGGAGCCATCGTAGAGCTTTGTCTGCTATTAAAAACTAGCCTAGGGCGTCATCTGCTATTAAAATCTAGCCTAGAGCATCGTCTGATGACTACAAACTAGCGTAGACTGCCATCTGCTGTTAGGTACTATCGTAGAGCGTTGTCTGCTATTAATATCTAGCATAGAGCAGCATCTGCTGTTAAAAATTTGCCTAGAGCGCTGTCTACTTTAAAAAAAAACTGGCCTAGAGCATTGTCTGCTATTAGAATCTAGCGTAGAGCACCATCTGCTGTTAAAAACTAGCCCAGAACATTCCCGTCTGCTTTTAAAAGCTAGCTAAGAGCGCCATCTGCTGTTTAAAAACTAGCCTAGATCACCGCCTGCTATTTAAAAACTAGCCTAGAATGCCATCATCTGCTGTTAAAAACTAGTCTAGAGTGTCACCTGCATTAAGAACTAGCTTAAAGAACAATGGGATGTTGAAAGCTAGCTTAAAGCGCCTTCTGCTGCTAAAAACGAAGCTGAGAATCTATTCAAGAAAGAATATTGATGCATTTTGAAAACTTCTGATTCGATGCTGAATTGAATTCTCAAACAATTTTACGCCAGAACTTTATTTATTTTTTAACCATTCAGACATAATTGATTTCATTTTAAAATGGCAAACCAAAGGCTGCATCTCTTGTTTACGTTCATCCTCTTCTTTTGCGCTTCTTGGACTTTGTTACATTAGAGCTGTTACCTCTAGCCTTGTGGATTTTACCTCTCAGGGTGTTTTATTTTTCTTATATTTTTAGTGTCTTTCTTATTTCAATCTGGTTATTTAGAGCTCTTTTGGAATCTGATGCTCAGTTTATTAAAACCTGAAGCACCACTTAAAGGGACAGTTCAGCCAGAAATTTATATATTTTTTCACCATTTACTTCCTCAGTTGGTTCTAAATACTCTACAAATACCAGTTTAACCTAAAATAAAGGTTTATAGGGAGCTGCGTTTACAATAATCTTGGCATAAAAGCCAACTTGAATGACTCAGTCGAATGCACAATCGCATTGTATGGATAAATACTAGCCTAAAGTGCCATCTATTGTTAAAGATTAGCCTAGAGCACTGTCTGTGTTAAAAACCAGCCTAGAGCATTGTATGCTGTTAAAACCTAGCCTAGAACGCCGTCTGCTGATAAAAGCTAGCCTAAAGCGCAGTTTGCTCCTAAAAGCTAGCCTAGAGCGTCACATGCTGTTAAAAACTAGCCTAGAGCACCGTCTTCCGATTAAATCTACGCCCTAGAGTGCCGTCTGCTGTTAAAAACTAGCCTAGAGCGCCGTCTGCTGATTAAAGCTAGCCCTAGAGCACCAACTTCAGTTAAAAACTGGCCTAGAGCGTCGTCTGTTGATTAAAGCTAGCCCTAGAGCGCCATATTGTTAAAAAAACTAGCCTAGAGGGTCACCTGCTGATAAAAGTTAGCCCTAGAGCGCCATCTTCAGTTAAAATCCAGCCTAGAGTGTCATCTGCTGATAAAAGCTAGCCCGAAAGCGCCATTTTAAGTAAAAAACTAGCCTAGAGCGTCATCTGCTGATAAAAGCTAGCCCTAGAGCACCATTTTCAGTTAAAAACTAGCCTAGAGCGTCATCTGCTGGTTAAAACTAGCCCTAGAGCGATGTCTTCTGTTTAAAAAAAACTAGCCTAGAGCTTTGTCTGCTGATAAAAGCTGGTCATAGAGCGCCATCTGATGTTAAAAACTAACCAAGAGCACCGTAGTTGGTTCTTGCATGGAAATCGACAGCTGTTTTTTCCTCCAACATTCTTCAGAATATCTTCCATTTGTGTTCAACAGATGAAAGAAACTCAAACAGGTTTGGAACAACTGGAGGATGAGTAAATGATGACTGAATTAAAGTTTTTGTGTGAACTAACCCTTTAACAATTAGCTGGATCGATTGATCAAGACTGAATTTTGAAGCATTTAACTGCATGAACAGAAGCTAGTTGTGTATAAAGTCTCATCTAAAATGACAAATAGCATAAATATTAATATTCATATGAGAGTGAGGTACATTTGATATGCCTTAAATTGAGTTGACATATAAAAGGGAGATCTAAGAGAATTAAACCCTGTTAAAAAAATCCAGTGGGATATCATTTTAGGGGTGGTATTTTCAACTAAAATTATATTTTAATAGCATTTGATAGCCCGATTAGTATGTATATGGGAGGACGTATTTTTGTCAGACCCTTATTTTTAGCATCTACATTTTTTTATTACTCCTAAGTTCACCTATTCACCGTGTGCTCTGGATGCTTTTTCTTTTTGCAGTTTGTTTGTGGAAAAAAGCAGATGGATCTTTCCAACTTTTCCCCAATCCAAAAAAATAAGTGTTCAGTGTTCATTTATATGTACAAGGTGTCTGAATTGGTCATATTAGATTTGTTAGTAAAGTGTATGTGTGTAATTGTGTGTGTGTGTGTGTGTGTGTGTGTGTGTGTGTTTTTCTTAAATTTAAACCAGATACAAGTGACGTAACGGATCAAAAATCTCTTGGTTTGGATCAAATTGTTTTGTTTTGTTTTTGTCAAGGAGTAAACCATTTTTTTGGATCAGCCAAAAGGGGAGGAGACAAATGTAATTTACTTTCCATATATGACAAAAACACCACTGCAAGACACTTTTGGTTTCAACAAACAAAACCTAGAAGCTGTAATTTTAATAAAAATATAATGAAGAAATAATCAGATGAATAAAAACAAATTGTACAAGTACTGAGAAAGATTTCAATTAATGATTCAGTTATTCACTCATAAAACTTCATGTTTTATTGTTAGATGTATCATTTCTGAAGAATTATTCAGTGGCACATTTTTGATGGCTTGTTGCTTAAATAATTGCTGCCAATTACATTATTTAACCAATTAATGTAATTCATTTTGAGCATCAAGTTAAATGCATATGATGGTGATTTGTAATCTTTACCATAAACATCAGTGGTTTTATTAAAACTATAAACTGTAAACACAGTACTTTTGTGCTATTTGACTGTTTGTAACTCAAAAGACTTGAGACTTGATTTTTGCATTATTCAAACACAGATTTGAATGCAGCGATTCAAAGGATTATTAAACATATGCCCAAATTACCATTATTTATAATTTGTTGCGTGGGTGTTGAGATCCTGATCTTTTACTGATTAATCATGCAGCTTACACTGAATGCAATAATGCAGGCTAAACAAGTAGTGACAGAAAACACCTTTAATAATCTAAGAAACCCATCACATCCCGTATAACCCACCACAACTTCTTCCATCATCATTATATTTTACAGAAAATCCCAAATGCTTTTATACATGTGATTTGAATAATGTGAGAGGTGATCTCTGTGATCATTAAAATTTTAGGATTAATCTACAAGTAAAAAAATGCATTAATCCTCAGGTCATGGTTGTTCTAAACCGTAGGTTTTGATCCATTACGCTACTACCAGATACAGTTCTTTTTCAGCTACTTGCATTACAGACTGCGGTTCTGTCAGCCTTCTGTTTGTAAAATGTTTACTTTTACAGGGTAAAATCTATAAATTCACAATTATTTCCATCTAAATTCTCCTTGTATTTTTGCTAAGTGTTTGGGAAAACATACAAACACTTTGTAAACTATTTCTCTTATTTGGTTTTGATTATTGAGTGCATATAAACTATTTAAAGCCGCTTTCTTGCCTTTATCCCAAATTGTAACAGAGTATGAACTCCATTTTCACCATAGCGAATTTTATTCAATCTTTTTCAGGTTGTTTATTGGTTGTGTTCTTATGATCGCATATGTTTGTGTGGATTTAGTTTATATGTAAAATGATTGTATTTAATATCAGAATTTATGCAGAAAACTACATAACCCATGATGTTGTGCAGGACAACTTTTAAAGAATCCATTTCTGTATCGTTTGGCACTGCAGTTTTGTTCTCATTAAAGCCGTAAAGTACACATTCTTGTACCTTTGTCTGTTTTTTATCTTCAAATGAAAATTTGTTGTGATTCTTCTCTTAGCATGTTGTTTTGATTTATGGAATAAATTAAAACGCTTTTTTTGTCTGATCTCTAAAAAATGTTGTTGTTTCACACCTAATCATGTAAAATATTTGTATTTGAATGGACAAAGCTAGCCTAGACTGCCATCTTCTGTTACAAACTAGCCTTAAAGCATCATCTGCTGTTTAAAAACTAGCCTAGTGCGCAGTTTGCTGATTAAAGCTAGCCCTAGAGTGCCGTCTGCTGTTAAAAACTAGCCTTAGAGCATCAACTGCTGTCTTAAACTTGTCCTAGATCACCGTCTGCTGTTAAAAAACTAGCCTAGAGCCCTGTCAGCTGTTAAAAGCTAGCTCAGAGCGCCGCTTGCTGCTAAAAGCTAACCCTAGAGCCCCGTCTGCTAATAAAAACTAGCCCTAGAGCATCATCTGCTGTTTAAAGCTTGCCCTTGAGTGCGGTCTGCTGTTAAAAACTAGCCTTGAGCCCTGTCAGCTGTTAAAAGCTAGCTTAGAGTGCTGTCTGCTTCTAAAAGCTAGCCCTAGTGTTCCTCCTGCTGCTAAAAGCTAGCCCTAGAGTGCCGTACGCTGATAAAAGCTAGCCTATAGCACTATTTGCTGTAAAAAAAAAATAGCCTAGAGCTCCATCTGATGATTAAAGTTAGCCATAGAGCGTCATCTGCTGTTAAAAACTATCCTAGAGCGCCATCTGCTGTTAAAAGTTAGCCCAGAGTATCGTCTGCTGTTAAAAACTAGCCTGGAGCACCTTATGCTGATAAAAGCTAGCCCTAGAGTGCCATATTCTGTTAAAAACTAGCCTAGAGCACTGTCTGCTGTTAAAAGCTAGCTCTAGCGCAACATATGCTGGTAAAAACTAGCCCTGAAGTGCCATATGCTGATAAAAACTAACCCAAGAGCGCCGTATGCTGATAAAAGCTAGCCTAGTGCACTGTTTGCAGATAAAAGCTAGCCCTAGAACGCCATATGCTAATAAAAGCTAGCCTAAAGCATTGTAAGCTGATAAAAGCTAGCTCTAGGATGCCGTCTGCTGATTAAAGCTAGCCCTAGAGTGCTGTCAAAAAGAGCGACATCTGCTGTTAAACGTTGGCCTAGAGCAGGGGTTCCCAAACTTTTTAGCCCGCGACCCCCAAAATAACAATGCCAGTGACTCGCGACCCCCAATATCCTCTGAGGTGGTTAAAAATACAGAAACCTTGCATGCAATGACGCAGACACACCAATTAAATTTGTGTCAATGCTTTAAATGTGCCAGAAAGTATAACCTGATGTTATAAAATCAAAATGCATCTGACGCTATTGCTGCCTTTAATATAATGTTAATCCAATAGAACAAGTAACTATAAGCTACTATAGTAACTATATAGTATATAGTAACTATAAACGACTATTTTTATTTTCAGTATAGTTATGGATAAAATATGTTGAGTCGGTTTAATAAAAATAAATAGATTTTTGGAAATCACCAGGCGACCCCCCTTCATTGCCCCCGTGACCCCTCGGGTGGTCCCGACCCCCACTTTGAGAACCACTGGCCTAGAGCACCGTTTGCTGTTTAAAGCTTGCCTAGAGATGTCAACTGTTAAAAGCTAGCCTAGAAAAAATGTTTAACCCACAAAACTGAGCACATCATACAATTTTATATAATAATAAAAACCACAGGATCTTTAAAAGAAAATGATGTCATGTCTACTCATTGCAATGTGCTGAAAATCTTTATTGACATGATTTCACGATGCGTGATGTCGTCAGTGTACAAAAATAACAATTGCTTGAAAGCAAGCACAGAGATACAGATCTAAACTCATTACACATCACAGGCCTTTTCCCCCAATTTCCTCAACGTGCACAAGCCTCCTGACGCAATAGTTTCCTTCTCATAAAATAATTTGTGCGCAAATAAATAATATGAATATAATAAATAAAATAAAACACAAATAAATAAGGACTAAAAATAACCAAACCAACAAAATGTCATTCATAAATAGTAAAAATCATCTGTAAATAGTGGACCATTCAGCAGTTTCGTCATGCCTTGAAGTGTTTATTAATCCATAGTATGAAGAGCTCGAGCAGACTTCTCAGCTTCTCTGCATTTCTAGACGCTTTCTTACTGCCGTGAAAGGCCGATTCGCAGGTGTTTGTTGAATTACTGCTGCACTTTCTGTTCCTCCTCAAGTCCTCCACGTGCTGTCTGATGGAGAGCAGAGTTTTGTTCAGTTTTTCGTCCAGTCCGTCTAGATTGGTCGCCGCCTGCAGGTAAGAGCTGAACGTGGAGATGTGAGAGCAGTTCAGACGCTCGTGTACTCTTGGCTCTTCAATGCATCCGAATGAATGAGCTCCTGTGTGATTCCTCAACACTAAAGCAGCTTCAGTCTTCTGAAGAAAAAAAATAGGCAGATAGTTACGTTTTAGAACAACTGAAAAAGTTTGTTATTAAATGTTTTCACGACGCGTCGTCCGCCATATTGGAGAACAGAACATAATGGCGCGTATTATTACTATGTTTAACATTGCCGCGGAAAATGATCAATTATTGTCATATTTTGAGCTGTACTACAACATTTAATGTATTATAGAGGGCAAACTTTTAACCATGAATTTATTGTAATGTTATATTTTTGTTTCTGGTAAATTAATGTGGTTTTAACTTATTGAATTAATTAAGCAAATTCAATAAAAAAACTAGTTTAAAAGCCGTTTCACATACATTACTTTTCAGTTATTTTTCACATTATTCTATTGAACAGCATACAGTATATGCCAGGTTTTTAAATGAATTAACCTGCTACCCCTGCTGAAATAAAAAAACAGCCTAGTCTGGTTGGCTGGTTTTAGCTAGTCGACCAGGCTGGTTTTAGAGGGGTTTTGGCCATTTCTAGGCTGGTCTTAGCTGGTCAGACTGGTAGATGACCAGGTTGACCAACCTAGCCAGGCTGGGGCCCTGCTGAAAAATCCAGCTTAAACCAGCTCAGGCTGGTTGGGTGGTTTTAGCTGGATTTTTCAGCAGGGGAGCCCAGCCAAAACTAGCTATGACCAGGCTGGAAATGGCTGGATACCAGCCTGCAAATGGCCAAAACCCCTCTAAAACCAGGCTGGTCAACCAGCTAAAACCAACCTAGGCTGGTTTAAGCTGAATTTTTTAGAAGAGAGAAAGAATTAGGTGTCTGAGGAATAAAAATGTGTTTGTGGTTGGTTAATTGGTGAAAATACAGCTGGGAAAAACAACCTAAACAGGTTCTGGCTGGTCAATTTAGGCTAGTTTTTGCTGGTTAGTCTGGGAGACTATAGCTAATTTGATTAGTCAAGTTGGTTAGTTGGCTGGTCTTAGCTGGTTTTAGCTGGCAATTTCAACTGGTTTTCGCTTTAAGACCAGCTGGAAAGTGCCCAAAACCCATCTAAAACCAGCCAACCACCTTAGGCTGGTTTAAGCCATTTTCTCCCTTCTGTATTTTCACCAATTGACAAACACCTTTTGTTCCTCAGACAGCTTCTGTTTTGCTCAATAGTTAATTTATAGTACCCTAAATGTTTTAGTACATCTCAAAAATGACAACAATTAATCATTTTTAGTGGCACCATAATACCCTAACCTGATTTTACCAAGTAGGAGTTCCTGGATCTACATTCCCATCAGAATTAAGGGACACATTTACCGTTTATGTTATGATTAGGCTTACAGTTTTACAGGTTTATTCACTTCTGTATGATTCTTATCTAACTATTATCCCCCTCTGATTCTGGGAGTAATTTACAGGTTGGGTTTAGGGACAGGAAAAATTTAGTGTACTTTAGAGAGCGTAGTTATAACTAACAAGAAAAAGAGAGAACAATTAGGTGTCTGAGGAACAAAACTGTGTTTGTGGTTGGTTAATTGGTGAAAATGCAGCTGGGAAAAACTATATTTTGCAGGTGAACCAGGCTAGTTTTTGCTGGTTAGGTTGGGAGACTAGCTAAAACTTGACCAGCCAAAGTGAATAACTTACAGAATAAGTTGTCAGTCATCTTTGATACACCATAGGTTATTAATGAAAATGGATACAGCAACAAATTAATTAATGAATTAACGTATTGCTGCATTAAAACAAAACTGTATATATTTTATGTCTAGCCATTAATATAGTTAAGTTTTCAAAGAAACCCCAGACCTCACTAATTTGCAACCCCTAACTATGGACATGGCAGTCGTTACTGCATTTCACAACGCTGTTTTCTCACTCGCATGCTAGGATGATCTTTATCGAACCAACTAAAAGCTGATTGCACAATAAGAATACAGTCAGCTAATACACCAGAAACCAGTTTAAAATATAAATATGAACCCACCAGATGTGTCAGTGCATCTTCACCCAACTCCGTCATTTTACGTATAGCCAGAATGTAAACCGACTCAGTGGTTTGCAGCAAAGACAGCAGCAGGAGTAAACCTACAAATACAAGAGAAACATTGAATTAATATACAAAAGGAAAATCGTTTGACCCTTGTGAGTGGATTTGATCGAAAATAAGAATATATTTAAACGCTTAATGAGCATTCGCCATTACATGAACTCTTCATGTGTTAAGTTTGTACATCGTTGCCTATTTCCATTTAAATAAGAGTTCATAATATTCAGCCTCTACTAAATCAGAAAGCAGACTCACCAGCAATGCAAAGATGTGTTCTGTTTGCCATGTTGAGACACTTTGTTGATGTGTGTACATGTGTTTAGCCATATTTAAGTCGTCAAATGCCTCATCAATTGCTTATCTTTAATCAGCATTTACTAATGGGGATTTTACAATGCTGATGCATTTTCCAAAAAAACTCCGATTCATGTTACACTGATTAATGAGGTAATAAATAGAATCAATGCAATTTTAATATACAAAATAATTCACTTAAATAGTAAGTATAACTGTACTGGTATAGTTTATTCCATATAAATAGAGAATCAGGTTTAC